TTGGCTAAAAATGCCAGAGATCTCAATCAAAATACAATCCCAACCACGTTGGCAGATGCAAATGCTTTTGCAAAGTCAAGACTATTCACCCCTTTAAAAATCAAAGCCCACGATCAAATAACTAATCTTGACATCGATAGGAAGACAGCCACTACTCTCATCAGACTAAGAACAAAACATCATAAAAACATGAAAATTTCTACAGATAAGACTAGAAAATATCAAAACTGTGGCAACTGTCTTAATGTGGAACTGACACCATATCATGTTTTTAACTGCCCTGCAGTCGCTGCAGGCCTTCACCTCTTAAACTACCCCACAGAAGAGGATTTGTATTCTTTTAATGCCATAGAAATAACAAAAACTATTCAAGCACACCATGAAATATGATTCTATAGAGGATACGACACCAACCAACCAACCAGTTAATTAAATTCTTGTTAATATTTCTTAATTTAACATGACCATTCTGCCATCTGACTAGATGCTAGCAGGTATCTAAAAGTAGCTTTGTACAGCTATGGTGAAAAATTAAGTGCGCTATGGTGCTTTTTTTAAAAAATTGTTAGTGGCTTAACGATAACAATTATGTTGAATTCATTCATGACGTGAACTGTGCAATTGCTCTGAGTCGGAAGCAGCAAATTAATAAGGAGTGATCGTTTAAGACAATGGCATATCTCGTAAGATAAAAGTCACTGAAAGAGTAGTTCACATTCAAGTTTTATGTTATTCTGTATTATATCATTCTTACTACTTAGACATTACACCATCTAACTACCACTTAGTATTAGCTATGTATTAGCTGTGGTTTTTTAGTTGTAGTTCATAGGCATGAACAATAGTTAAGAAACTGAAATAATTTCTCATTCTCCATCAGGCAATTTTCTGATTCTAGGGGAGGAAACTTTTAAGCGTATGAGCTTGTATCACATAATTAATTTAGTTGAAGTTAAAGGAGATTATCGTACTTAAAATGCATTTTTATGAAATTGCTAGATCTTTATTTCTCATTAAAACTGCATGAGCTGATTTGGATGTAAGATAGTTTGTACTAGTGCGATGCATTCTAAAACAAAGTTGAGTTATATTGAAAATTGGTTTAAATATTCTTGTAATTCTTCCTAATTTTTAATGGAATATTGTGTAATATGCAAATAAAAATTGATTCTAGTTTATTGCAATTTGTTCATTTTTATTATTTTGTAAAATTGTATGTTACATTGTAAAAATATTTTGCTTTGTTTTTTGATTTAACAAATTAAATGACACATGATGTCAGATGCTTTTGCATTTTCTATTTAATGTGAAAGATCAGTAAAATTCAATCTAAAATGTATGTCAACTATTTTATAGATTTATACATCAGGAATAATATAGATTGCAATGAATGTTGCAATCAACATTTTTCCGACATGTTTTTCTCGTTTTGACATTTTATGACTCCCATTTTGTAATTTTCTCTTTAAAAAGTTTTTTTTAAAAACTGTCTAGGAACCAAGAATATTTTATAATTTTAAAAAAATTGTAAAATATATCAAAAATTAAATTTTTAAAAATCTTTTTCAAATTTTTACAAAATTTGTACTTTATGAAACTTTAAGTAAATGTGTACATTATTTAAACGATAACTAAATTAAAATAAGTGTATTAATTAGATTCTGAATAAAAATATTTCGAAATGTAATACAATTTATTTAGTTGTCAGTATTTTAAAAATAACAGACATAAAAGTTATATTGATATTATTAAATTCAAACATTGTACTGTAAGTGGGGTTTTATGTTTTAAAAATTTTTTTTATGTGTATTTTTGATTTATAAAGTACTTGAAGCAAAACAATTTTTACATGAAAATAAAATTCAGACTTTTTTACAACTTTTTTGTGTGATTATAACGAATACTATTCATCAAAATGTTTTATTTACTTTTTTTAACAATAACAAAAAAAAGAAGAAAAAAAACGGGATTTTTTTTTTTTTTTTTTTTAGTGTTACTAGTTTTTATTTGCTTAAATTTTAGGGTCCTGACTGGCATGGCCGTAGTGGAATCCATACTCATATGACTAACACTAGAATTACAGATCCTGAAATTTTAGAACGAAGGTAATTTTTAATAGTTTATAATTGCTGTTTACACTTTTTTTTGTTTTTTTTGTAGTATATTTTAAAACTAAGAAATTTATCTCTTTAATTCAAATTGAAACTTTTGTTACAACAATTGTAATAATTTTCACTAAATAAGTATATTAAATCAAAATATTTTTGGTCCCGCAGTGGACTGATCGTTAAGACACGGTTCCCAGCAAATCACCGAAGTCAAGCATCTCTGACTACGGTCAGTGTGCGGGTGGGTGACCACTTGGATCAGTCTGCGTAGGGACCGAGGGTGTGTGGTATTGGTCCTTGTTAAACTGTTCTACCGTAAAGTGATCGACTTCGCGTGCAGGTTGTCGAGTTACTGAAGCGGGGGTGCCATCCCCTCTGCAGAGGATCAAAATTGTGACGCCATGTCTTCAGATCATCCTCAGGGTGTTTCCCAGACCGTCGCCAATAGCCCATCGTGCAGCTCTAGTGCGACATAGATTAATTGCAACAACAACGAAATATTTTAAATAAAGATTAGTTTAAAAATCACTATATTTGTATTTTTTATTAAACGCTTGACTGTTCTAGGTTTATATCGAAAGTAAGATAGTGCATATACTTTAACTTGTTATTATTGATTTTGAAATAATCAAAAATCCTTTGCCCATCTATTGTTTATTTTACCTAAAAATTTTCTTTAGTTTTAAGCTGTATTTGTTTAAATTTTTAACTATGATTAGTATTGCATTCATAGATTATATTTCATAAACTAATATGAAATAATAATAAATAAGCATAACTTAGCAGCCCTCTCTATATTGTAACATTTTATGACGTATAATCCTTATGTGAGACATGTTTTGAGTTTGTATGAAGACCTTCAATATTTTTGAGTATAAGTAAATTATTATACTCTTTTTTTTCATGCTAATAAAAGAACTACCCAACCAAAATTTAAAAGTCTGCATTAAAATTTTCACAATGTCCAAATTAAAAGCAAATTTGTTTAAATCATTATGAAATAATAAAAGAGCAAATGTTGCTTAATGCTTTTTTTGTGATATTGAGTACTTTAAAAAAAATATCATTAATTTCCTCTGAAAAATAAGTGTATTCAGTCAATTTTTTTCATTTTTAAGTTTATATTAAAGTGATATATTTTTGTGTATGTTTTTTAAATAATAAATGGTCTGTAACATTGCGCAGAAACGAAATAAGTATAAAATAGCGAAGTTCAAAAGGGAAATTAACTTTTCATTGATGTCAGAAAATATTATCATCAAATATTAATAGGAAACAGTTGGCATTTTGTCAGAAAGAAACCTATCTCTTCTAGGATACTGGAAAAAAGTGAAGAAAACCCCCCCCCCCGGAAGGAAATGGAAGAAACTGGACAAAATGGAATATATCCTAAAAAAACCCAACAATAATTATTAACAACAACTATTTAATGAATAGTTTGAATTTAGGACAAATTAAATTTAATTTCAAATTAGAAAATAAAATATTTTTTATTTAATTTTTTTGAAAAAATAATTATTTTCATTTTAATTTTATGCAGAAGTTATATATTAATTAAAAAATGTGAGATAAAAAATTTTGTTAAAGTTTTTTCAACTAGTTAGTTTTTTAATGCATGCATATTTAAAAAAAATTTATATAGTAATTTTGTTTTTAATTAAATTTTTTTTAAGTGAAACAAACTAATATTCTTTAATAATAAAATCTGAAGAACTTAGTTTCTCTCCTAAAGTTATAATGCTAGTAAATCCAAAGCAAAATACTGTAAAGCTACTGAAATGTGAAAAAAAATACTTTGCTGTAACATTTATGATTGAAAACTTAGTTGAAACAATTGATTTAGTGTCTACGAAATCGACCACCAAAATATGTTTCAAACCTAAAAGAGAGATCCTTTCAAGAAATGTTTCACCTCCTCTTTCTAATTCTTTGAAAACAGAGAAATCTGTTCCCTTATTAGAAGCTATTTGTCAGTTGCCACTCATATTAAAACTAGAGAATGAATGAGAGATTCTTTTTAATGTCACCCTGGAGCAAAAGAAACCATTATTTGACTCTTTTGAGATATTTTGCAAATAATAACGAAGCGTTTCCATGAAAAAAACCCTTTTTTTGGAGATGGTGGGAAAAAACAGTCAGTCCTTGACTGATCCAAATAATTAGGTAAACTGGCAGATAGGTGTTTGAATAATCTACTGTATTTTTTTATTGATTAATTCTGTTTTCTTAAGTTCTGTAAATAATTTGAATATTTCACAATAAGTTCTTATTTTATAAAATATATTACTTTAAGTGTATGTGTTTACTGAAAGACATATTAAGTTTTTTCAATTGTCAATGTATAATAAAACTGATAACTGATGGCTTGTATAATGAAAACAAAATTTAAGTACAATCTCCTTATTATATTAACATTAATCCTTAGTTGAAATTTTTTCAACAATTTATTAGCCCTGAGTAACTGAAGTAAAAGTTCTGTATCATAAACTATAAAGGTGCAAAAAGTTGACAGGTTTTCGGATGCACAAAAATTGATGCCCTTTCTTAAGATTCACCAAATTTGAATAAAGAAAAAAAATTGGCAAAGAAAGCACAAGTTTCCAATGAAAGAAAATAAAAAATTAAATAAATATGAAAAGCAAAACTAGAAAAGCAGCAATAGTCGAAATCGAAATTGAGGCAGGAGGCTTTTCCAATCGCTATTGAATGGGTAGAATGGAAATTTTTATGTCATTAGTTTTTTTTTTTTACTTCTAATTTTTGTTTTCCAGCCTTGGTATTGTGTATAACTTGGTTTTATGTTTTCTTTTAAAATATTGTGTTTATTTGTTCATTAATAAAATATCTTGCAACCGTAAGATTCAATTGTGATAAAAAATTATCAAAATTTTAGGTATCCTGTTATATTGGAAAAATTCCACTTAAATCCTGGTACAGGTGGAAAAGGAAAATTTAAAGGAGGAGATGGAGTTATAAGAAAATTGGTTTTTAGAAAAGACTGCATGCTATCAATTCTAACAGAACGAAGAGTATTTGCCCCCTATGGATTAGAAGGTTAAAGTTTAAATTTTCTAAGGACTTATGTGAATTTATTTTGAATAAATTTGTTTATTATATGAAAATGTAAAATTTTTTTATGTTAAATTGAAGTCTAATCAGAGGACAAGAGAAACATATTATATTAGTGGATAAAATGCAATCATTTTTAGCAGTATTTAAATTTTCAATAATAGTTTTGTTGTATAAAATTTCTCTTGTAATTTAATTTTTAAATATTAACTTGGTGTGCCATTTAAAAAGAGAAAAAATTCCAATTTTATTACTTATAATGATAAGCATACTTTAGCCTAGAAAAATTTGTGATTTACGTGATTAATTTTTAAATTAGTAAAATTGCTCTTTTAAAATGCTATTTTAATTGCTATTTTATTATGGTTATTTTGTTGATTGTTAATAAAAAAAGGGAAAATTATGTGGATAAAGATTTATAATTTTAATAACTGTGGGAGAAACAGTTTTATTCATAGTTTGGTTTTATTATTCGAGTAGAATTAGATTGGAAGTGCAATATGACTTGCTGTTATTTGAATGTAATTTTATGGATTAATCCGTTGATTAAATGGGACAGCAATAAGCATGTGTGCTTCTCTGTCATACCATCTCAGTATGCTTACAGTAGAGCTGAAAAAAAGCAGTCTATTTATTTTTATAAAAAATATAAATTTGTACTCATCCTTCTGCATAGTTTGCATGGTGTCAAAAAATATGGAAAAGGAACTTGATTTATCACATGGATTTTCCAAACATATTTAGAATTGCACATTAAATTAAAAAACTAAAGAAAAGCAAACAAACTGAACCTTTAGTTTATCTCCGGCAATGGAGCAGGTAAAATGGGGATTAAGGTTTCAAAATCAAAAATCTAAATCTCCATTTTTTTATCGCAGATTTGATTTATTTAGAAAATGTACCCCAATGCAACCTATTGGTTTCTTATTTTAGTAAACAGATGGTGCTGCAATTACAGGTAAAAAGTGTTTAAATGAAATATCTCGAGAAATGGATGTCATATAAAAAAAGCTATAATAGATGATTTTGGTACTATTATGACATTACAGAAAAAACTCAATGTCTGGTGAATCCTAAGTTTTACCGCTAAAGCCTAGCTTATATCAAAGTGGCCTGGTAAAAGTCCAAACTATGCTTTAATATGATTCCATTTTGGGCTTTCACCAAGCCTTTGCCTTAAAACCTCGTAGTTGCCAAGACACTTTGGTAAATCCTAGATTTTACCTGTATCTCTTAAGATTTTTCCAGACTTGGGGTTTTTACAGTTATTACAGTAAAAACCTGAAGTTTGGAAAATCCTGGGTCTCTCTGGTAAAACCTAACTTTTACCAAAGTAGTTCACAAAAAGCTAGTTTTAAAACTAAACGCCTCATGATAAAACCTAGGAGTTACCAAGCCACTTTGATAAATCATTTTGGTTTACTGGTAAAATCTAGGAGTTACCAAGCCACTGTGATAAATCATTTCGGTTTACTGTTAAAACCTCGGATGTAAAAAATTCAGCCTATGACCTTCAGACATTAAAAGTGACATCACACTCGAAGGCCCTTATCTGGTGAGGACCAACTTTGATGTAACCAAATGCATCATTTGAAAATATTTCAAAGTTGTATCCATTACAGTTTTGATCCGATAAATATTTCTCTTGATAATTCCCCGTTCCCACACTTTTCAGACACCCCGTATAAGGTAAAATTTTTGTTTACTTAGTTTTATGTTTTGCTTATAAGCTTTTTTTTGTAAAAAAAAAATAGGTGGAGAAGATGGAAGTAAAGGACTTAATTTATTGATACGCAATGATGGGCGTACTATTAATCTAGGAGCTAAAAATTCAACCACTGTCCGTGCTGGAGTAAGTTATGCTTTTTTTTCTATATTGTAAAAGTAATTTGTTGATAGTTTGTTTCTTATAATTTTTTTTTTAATAAATGGAAATTGAATTATTTCATGTGTTTCATAGTTTTTTTATTTTGATTTTTTGTTACTACTCTATTGGGAGAGCCATAAAAAAATGAATTATTAACCGCACTTGTAATATATTAGGAACCTATTACTGCAGTACATATTGATTATCACAAAACAAGTGGTTCTAAACAAGTACTAGTAATATATTACATAATTTGAAATCTGTATGATTCTCTTGATTATGTTTTTTGTTACTCTGTTAGCTATTCAAATATTTAAATTCCAGGAATAAACATAAATTTGAAAAAAAAAAGTGTCTAGCATTAAAATATTTATAATATTTGCAGTGTTTCCCAAACTTATGACTTTTGTGTACCCTTTTTAAATTGTTTGTAATACTGTGTACCACTAATAAAAAAATGAATGCATTTTCTTAAAAATGTTTCTTTTTCTTTTTTGGTGCAAAGTTTTGTTAATAAATTTATTTGCATCAGTGAGAAGGGTGATATAGTTTTTGTATAATTCGGTTCATTGTGGTCAATTTTAGTCTGAGATGTGATTCCACGTCCAATAATCTATTTCTTTTTTTCGACTTAATGTCCACGAATGCTGAAAAAGCGACTTCACATAAATATGAAGTTGGAAGAGGCAAAATATATTTCACAACTTTTTCTGTTAAGACTGGATACATATTTTGCATTTGCAGCCAGAATGATGTTAAAGTACACTCCTCATGTTTATTTTTCAAGAATCTGTCTGAAGCCAATTCCAATAATTGCTTTTCTTCCGCATGCGACAATCCTTCTGGCATGGATGTTGTATTAATATATTTATTTGCATCAGTATATATATATATTAATATATTTATATGCATTAAACAGATATCTTATCCATTAAATTTTTTTTTAAATCGGGGGAATTACACAAAAGTTAAAAATCACTACTGGCTGTTGACACCACTAATTATTAACTGTTAACTCTGCAAGAAATAGCCAATAGAAGAATACGCAATCGTAAATTTTCATGGCTAGCTTTGTTTTTTAAATTTTTTTTTTAAATTTTCGTTTGTTGCAAGATATTTCGCATAAGAACTCGTACCCCCGTTAAACTGTTCCTGTGGCCCTGGGGGTACACGTACCACACTTTGGGAAACACTGCTGTAATGCATTGATTTTATTAATGTTTTTTCCTTTGTAGGATTCATTTCTGCTGCATACGCCTGGAGGTGGAGGTTATGGAAAACAATGTGATTGAGAACTTTTTAATATAATTAGCTTAAAATTATTTTTGTAAAATTTTATAATCAGAGAGTAATATTTGTTTAAAAATTTGCTATAAATTTATCAATAAAAACTATATTTTTAATTCACTATTTTTTGTGTATTTATTTATTTTTATTTAATTCTCTCTTTTATTATTCTATTTAACTTGGACATTTCTGCTCACTCATTTTTTTTAAAACCATATATTAAAATAAGAAGTATTTTACAAGACGCAGAAAAAAGTAGGGTAATATCTTATTAAGGAGTAGTTTTTTCTAAAATCTATTTTATTTAGAGATTAGGTGTCTTAATACCTTAAAATAATGAACCCAAAGAACTGTGAACAGAAAAAATTGAGTATAACTGATTCTCTTACTGGCGTACTGTTGAAAAAACATTTTTGTTGTTTATAGTGACTCTTGGACAAGCCAAGCTCACCAGCCATTGCGAATTAAGCCAGGAAAGTCTCTCATTTGATAAGAGAACACCGCAAAGGTGAAAGTACGTCTTAGAACACTCTGATAGATGGCAGTACATCTCGTTCGTGAGGCCACTTCCACCATTTAGATCTGAAGGGAAAGGAAATTTTCACCAGATTCCCCGTTCCCGAGGTATTGCTTAGTGACCGAGCATAAGACTTTTGATTCCACAGATTTGACGAGCACGTATTCGGCAGGTTTTAATGGAGTCGAGAATCAAACCCTAGCCTCTTTCGGACCACAGTACGATTCTCTAATCACTGGGCTACCATGGTCAATAATCTTTCTTGAATTTTCGGGTTGTTTAGATTCATAAATTAAAAAATTTTTCATCGATTTTTTTATCAGTATGTTCTAAATTGCAATTTTTAAGACAGTAAGTAAACTCATTTTACGGCATAATTTTTCTATTATAAACAATTTTTAATTCTAATATTGTTTACTAAAATGCCTAATGGTTATTTTTCTTTTTGAATATTTTGTCATATCTTTGTAACTGTTTAAGAGAATTGAACTATTTTTGTCTGAATTATAAATTTTTTTAGGCATTACTAATTCCACGTAAAAAATAATTTCTTTACAATTATTAATTATTTCGCTTATTTAGTTAATATTTGAATAAATTTTAAATTGTAAGATAATTTTTTCATAACGTTTATGTATTTTTTGATCTATCATTTACATTCCTACACTCGAACCAGATTAAATTACGTTTTTTTTGCCGTGAAAATCCAGTCATTAGATCAAAAGTTATTCAGGAAGTAACTTTTTCTTTTTATGTTACTCTCTGTTACTTACGTTAAGCTGTTTAAATCTGCTGCAATCACAATTGTTAAGCTGTTGTAATCAAGTGGATGTTGAATTTTAATATGTTTGTAATTTTTCTTCTGTAAAAGCTGTTTTTCCTTCTGGTTACTTCCAGTGCAGCAAAGTTAACGTACCTTATGGTAAAAGGGCTTTTTGAGGAAATGGCAATTAAGAACAAATTAAATTTTTCCTACTTTATTAGTCACTTTAAACAATAGGATTACTTTTCTTAAATTTGCTTTCTATTATAATTATTAACAATACAGAGAAATCAAGGTGTTTAATGAACTTTTTAACGAAAAAAAAAAAAACTTAGAAATTATTTATAGATAAACTTATTAACACTTTTTTTATAGATAAACTTATTCAGAGACAAGATTGTTTTCTAGATACATTAAACCTTATTTTTTAAGTATTTGACATGTGTAATTTATGAATTAATCATTAAATCCTAAATTTGCTATTTTGTGGTTATATACACTCATTGCTGTAAAGATTAGCGCACCTAGAGAGAGTTGTCAGAAGGAAATGAAATTTTGTACAACGTTAATGTAAGTAAGTGGATAAAAAATCAAAGCAAAATGATCATTTATGGCATGGAAAATACAAATGAATGGAGGTTTTAGTTACCTTCTTTAACCACCTCCAGCACTTATGCAGGATGCGGTACCGTCGAACAGTGAAGCCTACAAGTCCCTTAAGATGACCTGCAATACCTAGTTCGACAGTTGCTGTAAAAACGCCGCTAAATCGACTCATCACGGAAGTTATTCAACTTGCTGTCCCAAGTGCTCTGAGATATGCTCGTTCGGTGACAAATCTGGGACCAAGAGCAGGCCATGGAAGGGTATTAACGTGGCGGAGGCATTTCTGAGACAACCTTGTTGTGTATGATCGAGCATTGTCTTGTTGAAAAATGGCTCCTTAGAACTCTGAAATGTGTGGTAACACATGTGGTTGAAGGAAGTTATACGAGTATACATACCAATGGGCTGTTATGACGCCATGGATAAGGGGTAATAATGTGTCGTATGCGATTGCCACTCCATACTATCACACCAGCTGTACAGCATGGGCAGTCATGACCATCAAGTACGAGTGGGGAAGCCACGTGGTGAACGCCTAAATCCTGCCCATGCTGTACAGTAGCATGGATGTATGATTAGATACAGCATACAGATGTTTCGGTGATGCTGATCTACACGATTTCTACAACAGGAGTGATGGTATGGGGTATCAAAGCATACGACACACCTTTAGTTATCCTAATGATCCACGGATCCAAATCAGCTCAACGGTATAATCGAGATATACTGAAGTCTCGTGTGTTGATATTCATGAGAAACAGGATATTCAGAAGCTATTTTTCAACAAGACAATGTTCGCAACCACATACAGCAAGGGTGTCACAGGAATGCCTTTGTCACATTACCACCCTTCCCTGGCCTGCTTTCTCTCCAGGTTTATCCCTGAACAAGCATATCTGGGACCACTTGGGATGGCAAGTTGTACAACTTCCGAGTTCAGTCTATTTAGAGGTATTTTTACACAATTGTGGAACGAGAGGCCGCTGGACCTCATAAGGGACTTGTATGCTTCAATGCTCGACCGCATTCGCACTAGAAGTGGCCCAAGAGGGTACAAAAACTTCCATTCATTTGTATTTTTCCTGTAATAACTAATCATTTTGCTTTGATTTTTTAATCATTTACTTGTATCAACGTTGTACTAAAGTAACTGTTGTAATTTAAAGTGAATTTTCAACATAATGTAGATTAAAAAAAATACTTTTTTGTATAAACGTAACAAAATAAATAATTTTCATATTTTGTGTAAAACAATTCACTATTCACTAATAGTTTCAGAAAATAAAAATGTAAGGGGAGCCAAACATTCGACCACTACTATTAAGAGGATATTTTTTAGATTTTGGTTACTAGCCTGCCATATTTCGAGAGTTAAAAGTCCTATTTCTCAAGTTAAACGCTGTGTTTTTTCTGTCTAACTTAAGGAATTAACATCTATAACGGGCATTCATCGCAACATTCCCTCTTAAATAAAATGTATTACAATTACACACCTCGCTTACACTTAAAATCTGTAAAGTAAAATTGAATATGGTAATAATTATGAGACTCTTTGGGATTATAATGTTGGGATGTTTATGCAATGCTCTGCATATTCTGAAATTAGTGAGCCTATACAAATTTATGAAAGAAAATGAAAATATATTGTGCTGAAGAAATTAAGCAGAAAAAAATTGTTATTCTTAATTATATGATATTTTATTTCAATAAAGAGTGATTTCGATGTCATATAACCATTAAAAGCAGAGCTTTTTAAATTTCTATACCTCATGACCCATTTTTACTAGTTTTCTTTTATACATGCTCAAAATGGACATAATAGAAAATAACTTACTTCACAGACGTGAAGTGTATGTAAAATAGGCTTTTATGGAAAATCGGTTATAAGATGCATTTTCCGTGGCCCTAAGTGTAGGAAGCTTTAGTTTATGGCATTGAAGCTGCTACCTGAGCATGCGGGGTGTTCCACAATCATCACCCTTAATGCTTATTTTTAGAGCATTTGTCAAAAAAAGTATGGACATGACCCTTTGACGGAGAATTTTTATTAAACATATTTTCATACTTTATTTGTTATTTTGTATCAAATTAGGTAAAAATAAGTGGAAAATATTGCATTTAACATTTCAATACTTTATGGTTATGAAATGCAGTATGAAACACGGTTGTCTTTTTCTGCGTGTTAGTGAAATCTTCCAAATACGGCTCTCTTCCAAACGATAATTTTCCGAATGTTCACTTATTTGAAGTTATTTAAATCTAAGAGAAACAGTTATTCATCATTGAAATTTTGCTAATTTGCAAAAAGAATTATGGCTAAATTTTTGAATATGAATGAAAAAATATTAAAACTAATTTTTTTGGATTTTATATTTTAGTATAAATGTAATTCCGATAACCTAACAGACTTTTTAGTAACTATTAGACTGTTATTTTATAGTTAAAAAATACTAAAATATATTTTTGTTCGTAGTTAGAGAGTCAGAAAAAAATATACAAAAAGGACCACCTGTGTCCGATTTACGTCAAAATGTACCCTTTAAAGATTGATTTAATTTTCGACATTTATTTTTAGTATATATGTTAAGGTGATGATCGCGGAACACTCTTTCTATTTTATAAATATGCACTTTTAATGTTGCTGTTAAGTTTTATATATTGGTTTGACAAGAAAGTAATTTCGGTTTTTAAGTGTGAAATAATCCTCCATGTTCCCATAACCCCTGGGCCTACTGAATTGGAGATAGATTGTTCATTTTTTGGTTCAGGTCAAAATTACGATCTGCGGATAAACTAATTGATGTATAAATGAGTCCACCCTATAAACGGGTGTGACGTATGGGTGCGGCAGAAGTCGAATTCTTGGGCGTAGATGGCGCTACTGGTAAACAAGAACAGTAGCACCCCTCGCCTTAATGGTCTACGACTACAACAAGTGTGAAATAAAACTCAAATTTTTTATTAAAAAATGATTTTTAATCTGTCAAATGTCTTTCTTCTGTTCGATGGCTTTTTGCCATATTTCTGGTAACGTTATCAAGAAGAAAAAAACTCGACCGTGTGCGATTCGAGGTCATTGTTAATACTGAAATTTTTACCGTTTAAAATGTTTTGTAAGTGAAATCTATTGAATTTAATTAAAAAAAGTTGTGCTGAACATTTTTAATAATCCGCTTAGAATTATGCAATAGCCGTCTCGACAAAGGTGTAGGAACTATCAGATAAACAGGCTCAAAGTTAATACATGAAATAAGTGCACTGAACCACAAGATCATTTAAAGTTTCTTTAACCTCAATCTGATCTTACTCTAAACCATATTTCCATTCAAGTCGCGCAATCTAATCGTGTAAACAAGTTCAATAAGAATAAATTTGTACGATAAAATGATTAAATGTATCATATTATAATGGTTGCAACAAATATGAACGATATCATGGTTCATATTGGTACATTATAATGTTTACTGCAAAATATGAATGAAATCATGGTTTATATTGACACATTATAATGATTACAGCATGTATAAACAATACCATGGTTCATATTGGGACATTATAACTTTTGCAGCAAAAATGAGTGATATCTTGATTCATACCGGAACATTATAATGGTAGCAGCTAATATAGCCGATATCATGGTTACCAAATAACGTTATAATGGTACATTAAAATGGTTGCAACAGATATGAACGATATTTTGTTCACCAAATAACATGATCATAGCTGCAACAATTATGAACGATTTCGTGTTTCAAAGCAATCTAACATTTCTAATAGCATAGAGTATTAAAGGTTTGTTTATTTTATGCTAGAAAGACGATAAAGTCGATTTGTTTAAAATCATTATTTTAATCTTTTTTGATACAAGGTAGTAGATTGAAATTTATTTAGTTCTTTACATTTTCTTATGAAAATTATATTGATCTATAGAATTTAAAATAGTAAACAATGCTTATAAACATAATAATGAACAATATTTTCCTTTAAATTTAGTATTTCTTGACGTTGAACTTAAAGGTAAACACAGAAGAGAATTTCATCGATAAACAAGCTAAGATGTCATATATATAAAAGTATGATCTAATTCTCTATGAATCTTGTTTTGTACATAGAATTCTGGCAGTCCAAAAAGGATGAGAACTTTGACCAACAGGATAAGTTCTGTCTCCTGTAAAAAATTTGTTAGAAATACGATCAGCCTTTGCATCTTATCATTTATACAGTTATATTCGTTTGTTATCCTAAAATACTTCAGAGACCTTCAAGTTTTCCATCTTCATAAAACAGGCCATAAGCAAACATGATTCCAAAAACTAAACCAACTTGATGAAAACTGGGAGAAAACAATAAGTATTTTTTATTTATTAGTTCATTGTTGAAGTTTTAATACTTGTTAGTTCACTGAGTGGAAGACACTGCCTGACTTTTAGTTCTTGCTGTGGTGGAAAATGAAGAACTAAGATAATGTTTGCACCAAATGGAACTCAAAAGTTTTATTTGAGCAGGATTAATTTTAATAACTTGATTAAAAACAAGGAATAAAGTTCAAAAGCATCTATCGATAGTAGATAATTTTTTTACATCTGCTCTATATGTTCAGTGTTTTGTCATTTAATTAGATAGTAGCACCATTTTTCAAATCTTTGGCATTGTAAAAGCAGTTTATTGCTAATCGGTGGGGTGGGCTAGATGTTAGCAAAAAGTAAACAAATCACTCGTTGTTTGGGAATTTTTTGAGAATCCACGGCACACCTCTGAGTTACAGCTTCTTCCATTTTTTGATAGTTTCATAGTATAAGCTAAGAACTCACCTAATTAATTCTATTCATTTATTCTATTTATAAAAGTTTAACTAATGCTTTCATAGGGTAAATCACGTCATACGAGCTTATCAATGTTAACATGAGAAATTCTATGTCCCTAAGCTACAATTCTCCCATGAGATATTTAATGATTGTTTTGTTATTCCTATATGGAACCTGAGCAAAAATTCAAATGACTTCAGCTTATAGATTGTTTTTTATAACTGATAGTAAAAATGGTTTATCACTAGTTTAATATACAATAGTCTGCTGCATACATTCAATGAAATGAAAAGTTAACTATTATGAGAATAAAGCTTTCAAAAGTTATATATTCTTCCCCTGATATTTGTTAAATACTCATTGTCCTTACTCTTAAAGAAAGGCTTAAAATCTTTCTCATAAAATTACGAGTTATATATAAAAAAAGTACTATTGAGGTTTAGCCTTGAAATATCACTTCTTAAAAAAGCTAATAAATCACAACTAGGCTTTAAAGTAACGTGCTTATTCTAAGCTTTCAACGAACTTCTTAATAAATTCATTGAACTTGTAAATTCGTTCTGAAATTTAGTTAACTATGAGTAACTGAGGACTAATTTTATTTGCAGTAGCTATAATTTATTGAAATAGAAGATATTTAAGAAGTATGAAATGAAAGTTTTGATTGAGTTAGGCATTCTCATCATTTTTTTCAATGCCTTGTTATTACAAACTAGAGTGGCCGTGGTTGTCAGAGGCCGGTTAGATGGGGCCCACCCCTTACCTCGACTAACTGCTTTGTTAGTGTCTGTCCAAATATTCAAGCAAAAAATGCTACAGCATGAATAGTCGGAGAAAAGAACATCGGAAGAAAGGTTGCTACTTTGGAATGTCGAATTTCCTAAACTCCTCGATTGCGCCATTTCTTGTCAATTCAGTCCCTGCAAGTTGCGATGCAATAATGCTCAAGACATCTTAGGTTTTATGCGTACAAATATATTCAGTTTAGTTATAATTTATCTCACGTTAATTGATATGGGGTTCTCATCAACGGTGCACTATGACGTCTGGGGCTGACCTCGTACTGTCGAAGCTTGGTGGCCGACTGGAGTCGAGTCCCTCGTCGACTATTGCCTCGGCCCGAAACTTCGAAGGCAGGGACAAAGGCACAGTTGCTGCTTTTACAGATGTCTGTTCAACATCGTCTGGTTCGTCCTCTTCAGCCAGGTATGAGCGATAAGTGTTGTGTTTTTGGCATACAAGATTGTCGTGGTGATGCTCCATGGGTGTGCGACGTACATGAGGAGGGGGTGGAGGGGGAGGCAGTGGTGGCGAGAAGCTGCCTCTCCTCTGGCAGCCATGTTCCTTGCACATAGGGTTAATGCCGTCCGGGAAAGAATTGCTAATGATGTGAATACCATCTCCAGTATTATTCTCCCGATCCCTGCAAATTATGTGTCCACCATTAGGGCTTTTATGAAATATACTTAAGTCCACCTGCAAGATAAAAAATTTACATTATCATCAGATATTATTAATCAGAGTTAGGAGAAATGAAAGACATTTAATAATGTCTCTGTTCATTGATTTGAAACTTTCAAAATAATTTGGATTTTTGATTTGGTTAATTCTCTTTCTATTTAATAACAAACAAGGTGTCTAAACGAAAAGAAAAAAAAATGGTAATGAACAGTGATGGCATAGTAGTTATACCACAGAGCTGTCATTGTGAAGTATTCAGGCTCTATTCTTCGTGGTGGCTTAAAGCCTAACTAGCCCTAACTAGCTTTTCGTCTGCCAAGTATAGTTGATCGGTGTGCAATTTCGCCCGTGTTGTCAACCGTATATTGTCAACCGTTGATTGCTAGATTGCTTTAAGGTTGTTTTTCGAAGGTTCCGTCGTAATATGAAATGATGCATTTTTGAGAATAATATGCTATTTTTATAATTGTTGTGAGTCTTCAACTGTTACTCATGACTGTTTGCTCAAGTTTAGCCTATCAAAAACCAGTGATGAGTGTGCTCAAACGTTGAAAAGGGTTCAAAACGTCAATATGGAGAAAAGCCAGAGTTTTGTTAAAATGAAAAGCGTTCGTTGTCTAATTTCTTAATATTTAAAAATTTACTTCAATGCTGCATTACCTAGGTTCATAAAAATTTGCAAAAACTGAGAATATGGCAGTAATTTTTTTAAATTTTCATCTAGGTAGGAAAATGTCACCAATTTTTAAATAAAGTTTAACAACTTTTTAAAATATTTAAGTTATTTGTCTGTTCTGAAGCCAAGGTAATTCTTCACGCCAAGATTGTACACATAGTTTAAAATCATCGCATTGCTTCAAGCGTAAGGCACTTAAACTATGGTTGTTTTATTTTTCTTGGCGACAGAGCTTCGAAAAACAGCTTTCATGTCAACTCTGGCCAACAGACTCTTTAAAATGGGCTGTTGCTGTAATAATGTTTTCAAAACTTCGATTACTGCAAATCAGATTTCTCAGAACCGTGGTGGCACAGGGGGTAGAGCACTCGCCTTTCAACCGGGTTCGAATTCCAGTGTTGGCTGGTCGATAAGAATAAGAATTCCTCACCCTTCTCGCACCTACCACAGTGCTATCGTAAAATATCTTCCATGGTAGATTGATCATGGATTAGAATCCCCTTATCGTTAGGCTAACCGTGGGAGGTTTACGTTGTTTTCCTCTCCATGTAAGGAAATGCGGATTAGTTCCATCAAAAAGTCCCCCACGAAGGCAAATTTCTCCCAATACTTGATCCAGGAGTTCCCTTGTCTTCTGGATTAGGTTCAAAATTACAAGGCTTCGGGATTGAATATTAGCAGTCGTAAACTGAAAAATTGGATCGGCTGTTCATCGACGGTTGTAAAATCGGATGTCTTGTATTTCGATAGTATTTTAAAATCGGCCTTAATGAAAACTTGAGTTTAACAACAGGCTCTTTAAAAATTGACCGTTTGCATAAATGCTTTTTGCAAAACTTTGATTACCGCAAATCGGACTTCTTTTACTTCGATGCCATTTTAAAACCATCTATAATAAAAACCTGTTTTTAGAATAAAAGAAACATTCATGTGCGTTCGTTTTGTGTTTTTGTCATTCATTTCAGTGGTCTAGTTCCCAGTCATGTGAGGAAACCATAGAATTTCGATAAAATACTGTGAATCACTGTTGATTTTTCTATGCCATTGCAAAATTAGATAATAAAAACTGTGTCTGCTTCCATCATTTCACTCCTTTCAGATAGACATATCGAAAGAAAGACGTGATCAATCTTTTGCCTAAGCTGTTTTGAAATCATTTTTGGTTCGTTCAAAAGAATTTTGGATTTTTAAACAATCTCCTATCGTAAGATGACTGGTTATATGAATTCGATCATTTGAGTAGTATTGTATAATTAAAGTCAATTTTTTATGGTTATAAAATTTAAACTAAATAGCATATTTTTGTGATAAAAAAAATCACATAAAATATTATTACCTCTGGAACATAACACCCATTTGATTCTTCTTCGTCCATCCACCTAGGTGGAACTTTTCTTCTTGCTGCACCAATTTCAGCCGCTTGAGCTGCCAATGCTGCCTCTAGATTTGGATCCATATTAGCGAGAACTCTATCCATTTCACCATCTACGGACACTTCTTTAGAGCGCCGCAATTTGTATTCTCTCTTCTTTTCACGCCGATCTTTGACTTTGTTGTAACATGTTATCACTATAGAAGCACACATGGCTACCACTAAAGCGAAGAAGACTATTAGTATCGTGATCATATGTTCTGAAGTTAGCATCCTGCTCGCTGTCATTGCTAAAAGGAAAAAAAGAACTATTTCAATATCCTGTCAGCACTGCTTTCTATTTCAATGAAGAGTGAAGTTATTTACTGAGTTAAAAATTGTTTTAAACTATTATACAATTGTTCATAAAATTCGCAAAATTACGAAAGAATCGCTCACATTTAATGAAATTTATGTAGAAAGTTCAGGAAAATAACCAGGAAATGCTCTTCGATGTTCAGGGAAAATTTTTATTGCCAGCGTTTTCTACTGTAACGGACTTGTCTGAAGAGAAATCTTGCCCGAGACTTCAGAGGATTCTTTTGTAAGACGTTAACACGATAAATCTCTTAAATTGATTGCGCAAGTGCGGTAGCGCTTTTTGTACCTCGGCGTTGGTATTAAATCTAAAGAGTTATAAAAATGCATTAAAAATTGGATTGATATCACAGCTTGTCCATGTTCAGGGTTTTTTTCCCCCAAGACATAAATTGTTAATTTTAAATTTTGTAATTTAGTCGAAATCGTAAAATAGGAAATACTAGTCGGGTGGAAGTGTTGTGAAATTGCAGGTTGTACGAAATGCAATGCTGAAACAGTGCTTATATATGCTTATTATTTTCTGCAAATTTCATGCAATGTTTGCCTAATTCTTTTTGGGTGCAATATTTTCTAGATAAAATAGTGCATAAACATCTACAAAAATAAAATTTAACCAAACTTTAAATTAAAATAAATGTTTCATATAATCCAATAAAAATCATGTAGTTTATACAATTCCTAACACCCTCTCCGTCAACGTTCATTCTGCAATGATAATTTTAAAATCAACATGAGTTTAGGTTGCACATGATTTCAGGAACACAAACAATTTTTAGGAATTCCAATAAATTTAACCGTAGACAACCGGTTCTGAATGGTGGTTCGAGTAAAAATAAGTGAACCATGGCATTAGCGTTGTGAGTTAATGCCATGGTTCACTATGCCATGGTTCAATAAGTGAACCCTACATGAGTGGCATTAGCGTTTCATTAGGGAAGATAGTTGATAGTTGAAGATTCACTGAAGTCACCTTTTATTTTTGAAGAGGCTGGTATTTTTGAAAGTATTTTTCATAAACTTGTTTGCGAAGCCAAAATTTTGTTAGCTGTCGTATGATACGAAATTGTCTTATGACAGCTTACCGTCATAATATATTTTATAGATACACCGTTATTACCAACCGTTATCTATGGATCAGAGACGTGGACGCCAACCCAGAAACAAGAAAAAATGCCGATTACCTGGGAAAGAAAAATTCTTAGAACTATTTTTGGACCTATCAAAGAGGGTGATCTGTGGAGAAGACGATACAATTTTGAAATTGCAAGACTATTTAAAGAAAAAGATATAATAAATTATGTAAAAGCAAGGAGAATTCAATGGCTAGGACACCTTGAGAGAATGGAGGAAAACAGAGGCACTAAGAAGATATTCAAGAGGCAGTGCCAAGGCCAAAGGAAAAGAGGAAGGCCGGTCAAGAGATGGTTTGACGAGGTGGAAAAAGACCTTAAGACTCTAAAAGTCCGAAACTGGAAACAAAGAGCTTGAGACAGGCGACTTAGGAGGAAAATTGTTAGTGAGGCCATGGTCCAACATGGACTGTAATACCAGGGAGTTAGTTAGCTAGTTAGTTAGATACACGATCGTATACAATGGCATTTTCCCCAAAGACTATTTTTTATACTCTTTTCTCTTTTTTCTATGACAGCAATTTTTAATATGATTCAAAATTATCTTCACTGAAACCGCCTTATTCACTGTAAAACATGAAAATAGTTCTTCAGATAAAAATTTGTGTTTTTTGGCAAAAATAACAAATCTGCAATTATTTTTAGCTTACCTCGCACCACTTTTTAAAAACTCTACGCCTTAGCTTGCGAAGCGAATTTGCGACTTTTTTTAACAGCACACAATGATAACTTAAAAGAAAAAGAAGAAGAAAGAGAGAGAGAGAGAAGGAGCTATCGTTGACAGCCGAACAATCACTACCTTAGTGCCTATTTTGACAACTAAATCCTTATAAACCGATTCTCTATAAACAATAGGAAACGAGGTATTCGAGAATTCATTGGAAGTTCGACGAGTTTTTTTTCCTTCAAAGAAGATACTTGATGGACCTTTTTGTTTTTAATAACAAATCACGTACTTTTTGTTTATACTGAACCACATAATTTCGTCTAAAGGATAGAAAACAAAACCGTTCGAGTTCGTTTTACTATGCAGTTTGTTGTGGTAAATACAGATAATGTAATTGTGGTAAAACTGTCATCCTCCAAATTGTCTGAGAAGATTTGTTTTTTTTTCTGACTGTGAAATTGTAATTGCTTCAATATAAAGCTTTTTAATTAGGGTTAAACTGTACAGAATTGTATTCTTCTTAATTGATTCATTATTTATTTTTTATGTAAATATCGGAAAGAAGTGAGAGTATTCGCTTACCAGGAGTGCACAGAGCTGCATCTTCGTCATATCGATATTTACAGTTGAACATTTTGTTACATTTTAGAGATATGTCTATGCATGTGCCATCGTCACAGCTGAATTCTGTTGGTATGCATTTATCTAAACAGAACAGAACAGTTTTTATTAAAAGGACATTCAAGGAAGAATATGCGTTAAAGAAATATTTAGACTGTTTTAAAATTGAGTCCAAACAGAGAGAACTTTGTCTAAATTTGCAAGTCAACATTATGAAATTACACTTAAATGACCCAAATTGTAATGTTATTTCACAAATATTTTTCCTTGTTAGTAGAAGAACCCAGGAAATGCATGATATCCGCTTTCAAAGTTATAATCATGTTTTAAACTCAAGTTTGATTTGATATAATCTTATGATGACATGATATGATTTAGATGTAAATTACATCAAATAATTAATTAAAAAGACTAGAGAGGAAATTTTTTTTGTGAGTGAATAAATTAATATAATCATATACTTTTTATTTTAAAAAAAAAGTATTGAAGTATAGTTAAACTCTAAAATTTCTCTTTTGACACTTTTAAAAGTCCAATTAATATTGGTGCGTTTTAATTTTGGTCCAAAGATGTCGGATAACGACGGTTATGCGAAGTTAAGCCAAATAGAAATTGCGAGTTCAATCTTTTGCCTATTTTTGATATAACATATTTGTTAACTGACGTACAAACCTAAATTTTTCTTTTAACCTATGCAAAAAAAATATTTGCACAACCATTTTTTTTTATCACGAAGTCTGTTACGACATAATAAAAATGTGGAAGAAAAACTTAAAGAAAAAAATTTGAAAACACAAGCAATAACAATAAATAAATAAATAAAAAACCAATCAAGGTCGGACTTGCTTACAAAAATGTGGGTGGGAGTAAGGGTTAGCGTGGGGCAAAGAAAAGAGATGGACACTGGGGAATTATATTCTCTTGTATGTTATGCGTTCTTTCATTTGATCATTTCTCATTAGAATTATTTACATTTATAATTCGGTTATTTATAATCCTAGAAGTTTAAGTTTATGACTGATTCCTTAGAAGAGGTACAATTTTTAAAATCTAATTCCTTTCCTTCCAAAAGAAGGTCTTAAAAATCAAAATAATTTTAGTTAATAAGCTAAATGGCTTTCTTTTTATAAATCAGCTTCAATCACAGAAACATTTTAAGATAGCATTAGTAGAAAAAAATAGCCCTATAAAGGGTTAAATATTGGTCTCAAAGTGAGGGAAGTCACAACGATAGACTGGTTTATTTCTGCTTCTGGTTGTAATACACGCAGTTGTTAATTACATATTACATAATAATTGCTAATTACATGATAATTATGTATAAGTTCCAATGAATTTCTTCTTTGAATAGAACCAACCTGTTTCACTAATAAGCCTGTTTTTAAGCGAAAATATAATATTTTTAGGGATATTTGTATGCAAATATCCCTAATTACAACTATTGCTGTAATAACAAGGAAAATATCTAAATATTCTGCAAATACTATTATATATTGTACGGCTTTGAGGAGAACTCCTGCAGACTAAAATTCTGGGACTGTCTGCTGCTATGGTAACAAGTCAGAGCACATTTTTAATGGGGGGTGAAATGGAGGAACGAAGGTGTCGATTGGTTTACTCACGCTGACCTATGTCAAGATCAAGACAAAACTATTCACCCCACACCCCTATTTGAAGTGACTTTTCCTCGTAACCACGGTACTCGCCACGACGCGAGACTGATGTCTAGAAGAGTTCTCATGAAAGCCACACTATACCTCTTTTTTAAAGTATATAGTTAAATTATTAGTTTTTAATACATGTTGGAGACCTGAAAACTTAAGTTGCTTGAAAATTTTATTGCTGGAAAGTATTGCTAAAAATATTTCGATACACTTTTTTTGGTTATAAGATTTCAAAGAAGAAATATAGACAATAATAAAATGAATGATGTTTCTACCAGATTCTCTGAATGCTGTGTAGACGATTTCAAACTTCCCATCTATTGCTTCTGCTTGTGCAAAATAGCGTACATAGACTAGGTTTCCGTCCGATTTTTGAGGTTCAGTGGCCGTGCCGCAAAACTGTGCCATTCTGGTGTCGTCACTCAGTGTCTGCTCATAGATGTCGATAAAGTTAAGGTCACAGTTATTAGGATGCTTCAGCTCGTATTTTTGAAAGTTGACATACATCTAGAAATAAATATCAAAGATGTATTCATAAATTAGGTTTAATGTAAATATATCTAAATATTATAGTATGAACTGAGCGTATGAAGATTAAGGGGGAAGACTCGATTGTATGGTCATCAGTTGAATTTTGAGGATTACTAAGTTTCAACAAATCAATGATGTGCACTGAGAAAAAAAAGCATAGTCAAGACTATCAGAATATGGTAGTTCTGGTTAGTTTCCGGCCCTATGGAGACATTAAAAAAACTAGGTAATTTTTACCCAACTACAGTGGAAATAATTTTGGTAAATTTAACAATAAAGTATGGTTTTATAATCTGTGATAAAATTTGGCAAATGTGGTAAAATTTGGTAATTTTATCAGGATACCTTAGACCATGGCATAAAAACCAAACATTCGGTTCAATTTATTTATAATTTTTGTATATTTTTTTCTAAATGTGTGGTAATATGAACTATAATTTTGAAAACCAGAATTGTTTGGTAAACGGTAACCATATGAACGGAAAAATTTCCAAATAAATATTATACCGTATATTTTCGTTTTTGTTAACAAGAATTAGATTTTTTTTACTGGAACTGTCATTACCATACAGTTCTGTAATTTTACTATCTCAGAATTTTTTTTTCTCCGTGTGGAAAATCAGTTATTTTTGAGAGTTATTACACAGTGAAGTTAGGCCGTGTAGCAATTTTCTTTTTTCTCTCTCTCAAAAATGAGCTTTCATGGACTTAATTCGTTTTTCTTCCTTCATCTTCATATTATGTCATTAGTTCCTTTTAGTAAAAATGAATTTCCTTTCATAATGCTTGTACTGAGTCTATTATTTGGTTTCATTTTATATTTCATTATATTTTTAGAGAGTGTTAATGTATATGTATGCAATGAAATAATTAGCAAGTCTTTGCATTTTGACTAGGAGAAATCGACTATATATAGAATTAAATCAAAAAATAAGAAACCGATAAAATGCTACAAAATCAACTACTTTAATATCAAGAGCAAATATTATTTTAATATCACATATAATCATGTAAAAAATTGATAGCAGTGTATTAGAATTACTTACTGACAAAAATTTAAATATTTACACTCAACAGAAAATTTCTAAATCAATAATTTTAATATTTCTGTACTCATAATCTTTTTTCTTGCAAAAGAAAGAGCATTTCTAGAATATTTCTAGACAGATTTCCTATGGATAAAACATTTGCAGTTTATGCATCTAGATATTTGAATATTCTTTATTCGTTCAAATTGCACGCATTTTATTAAACCTACGTTGTCAAAACTGAGCATTTTATTCTTGATATGTGATTGAAAATCAGTTCAAAAAATATTTGTCTTCAATTGAAAAAGTTTCAGACACATAAGGTTATCGTAAAAAAACTGAAATATTGAACATTATTTTATTTTTAAAGCTGAAGATCTAAAATACACTTGAATATGTACATTTTTTTAAATAAAAATTAACAAAATAGTTTTTATACTCATGTAAAAAATTCTACTTGTTTTAAAACTATGATATGACTTATCAGCCTTTTTATATAAAAAAATTTTAATTTTTTTTTTAAAAAGCATAATCATTAAAAAGAATTTCCTTAAAGGCAGTTTTTTATTAATTGTCCCATTATCATATTAACTGTTATAGAAACAGAAAAAAAGGTTTATGTTTGTGAATACTTCAACCATTTGCTTATATGTGCCACAAGTCACCATATGTGTATTATATAAGATCTATGTTAAAATTGATCATGTTCTTAAAAACAATAATTTTCAAATACAGAAATTTCATCAAAAAATTATTTATTTCGATAAAAATATATTATTATTATTATTTATTATAGTTTAAAACAAAAGATGCAAAATCAAATAGTAAATGTATTTTAATTCCGAAAACAATATTATTCAATAGCATTTTGATTACACAAAGACATGTTAAAATTGATAATTCTCTTCAAGAATAATTTTTTAACAAACAATTTTCAGAGACAGAAATGCCATCAAATAAAAAATATTAATAATATTTTTTATTTATAAATATTTCAATAAAAAATATTATTATGATTTGTGATATTCTAAAATAAAAATACAAAAGTCAAATTGTAAATCTGCTTTACTTCCGAAAACAATATTATTCAATAACATTTTGATTATACAAAGTCATGTTGAAATTGNAATAATATTTTTTATTTACAAATATTTCAATAAAAAATATTATTATGATTTGTGATATTCTAAAATAAATATACAAAAGTCAAATTGTAAATCTGCTTTACTTCCGAAAACAATATTATTCAATAACATTTTGATTATACAAAGTCATGTTAAAATTGGTTGTTTTTTAACGAATAATTTTCAGAGACAGAAATGCCATCAAAAATTTATTTCAATAAAAAATATTATTATGATTTATGATATTCTAAAATAAAAGATACAAAAGTCAAATTGTAAATCTGCTTTACTTCCGAAAACAATATTATTCAATAACATTTTGATTATACAAAGTCATGTTGAAATTGGTTGTTTTTCAACGAATAATTTTCAGAGACAGAAATTCCATCAAAAATATATTTCAATAAAAATACATTATTATAATTTATTACAGTCCAAAACAAAAGATACAAAATTCAAACAATAAATCTGCCTTGCTTCCGAAAGCAAGATTATTCAATAGCATTTTGAGTATGCGAAGTCATGTTAGAATTGATCATTTCTTTAATGAATAATTTTCAGAGACAAAAATTCTACCAAAAATTTATTTCAATAAAAATACATTATTACAGTCCAAAACAAAAGATGCAAAAGTCAAACAATAAACCTGCCTTGCTTCCGAAAGTGAATGCATAGTAAAGAATTCTTTTCAAATCTCTGAGCACTGGTAAAAGGCAAGCTCCAGCTTCGAACAGAACTTTGGTCATTTCCTTCAGGGCGAAGCATTTTGAAGGAGAGTAGGCTGGGGCGGTAACAGCAGCAGCAGATATTCAGATTCGGTAGACGCGGGGATGTATCTATATGCTTACAGATGCATGTGAATCTCGATTGTAAGCCTAATTGCGTCCCACAAAGCTGTAGATAAAAGGCTTTTATATGCCAGCTGCAGACATATTGATTCGCTTTTGGAGAACTCTGGACACTTGCCAGAGTCAGGCCACAAATCCCTAGTTTCGCTACTCCTGTTTTCCAGGAAGAAGTTAAAATGTGTATCCCTTGCGTTTTCGGGATAAAAAGGGAAGAAAAGAAGGTGAGACTGGAAATTTATATTTCGGTGAAAGGCAGTCCAGTAGTTCAAATATCATTTTATTTTAGAATGGGAGTTATTGGTGGGTGTCTTTTGTCTTTTTGGTACGTGTCCAAGTTGCTTACTATTTTACGTAGATCTAGAGAAAAAAGAAACTGGTTCTGGCAAAAATTGAAAAAAAAAAATACTTTTGTTGGGAAATAACGCTGCATTTTATTCGATGCTTGATTCTCAAGAGCTGAAGAGAAATGTACTTCGTAATGATTTCTGAGGCATTGAACTTGCTCGTAATATTTATTTTTCGTATTGTGATTACCTGGATTTTACCAATACTGAAGATTGCGATTCTATATAATAATAAAATAAAATTTGAGTTTGTAGAATGTGATGCTAAATATAGAGAGCAGTGAACAAACATAGATTTAGAGAGAAAATTCTTTTTTCCTCCTGTTTTTCTCAACCTTTTTCCTATTATGTACACAAATGAATAAAAAAAGAAGTTGAGAGGGTACTGGGAATTTATATAACTGTAAAATACAGTCCAGTAGTTCAAAATATCATTTTACTTTTGAATGAGAGTTATTGGTAGGTGTCTTTTGTTTTTTTGGTACGAGTCCAAGTTGCTTATTATCTTACGTATAACTTGAAAAAAAAACTGGTTCAGGCAAAAACAGAAAAAAACAGCAACAACAATTTTTTGTTGGGAAATAACTCTGCATTTTATTCGATGTTTGATTCTCAAGAGCTGAAGAGAAATATGCATTTGTAATGATTTCTAAGACATTAAACTTGTTCGTAATATTTTTCGTATTGTGATTGCATGCTTAAAAGCAAAGTCAAAATTGATTTTACGTATTTATAGAATAAAATTTGTATTTATAGAAGGAAATATGAAGTATAGAGAATTATGAAAAAACATAGGTTTAGAGAGAAAATATGCTTATTATGTAAACACAAATGATTAAAAAAAGAAGTTGAGATAGTACTTGGAATTTATATGACTGTAAAATACAGTCCAGTAGTTTAAATAACATTTTATTTCAGAATGAGAGTTATTGGTGGGTGTCTTTAGTTTTTTTAGAACGTGTTCAAATTGCTTACTGTTTTAAGCATAATTTGGAAAGACGAACTGGTTCTCTCAAAAGTAGGCAAATAGAAAAAATGTTTTTGATTTTGGTTGTGAAATAAGGCTGCAATTTTATTCCATGTTTGATTCTCAAGAGCTGAAAGGAAATATGCTTTGTAATAATTTCTAAGGCATTAAACTTGTTCCTAAGATTTGTTTTACATATTATGATTACCTGGATTTAACCAACATTGAAGATTGTAATTCCATGCATGTATAAAATAAAACTTGGGTCTGATGAATGTGATGCTAGGTATAGTGAATAACGAACAAAACGCAAAGGTTTAGAGAGAAAAATCCCTTTTTCTTCCTATTGTTTTAATTTTTTTTTCTATTATGTACACAAAGGACTAAAAAATGGTGAGACGGTACTGGAAAATTATATTCTTTTGAAATGCTGTCCAGTAGAGTTATTGGTGGGTGTCTTTAGTTTTTTTGATGCGTGTCCAAGTTGTTTACTGTCTTATGTATGACTTGGAAAATAAAATCTGGTTCTGCCAAAATTAGGAAAGTAGAAAAAAAAAAATTTTTGTTGTGAAATAACGCTGCATTTTTTTCGATGTTTGACACTCTAGAGTTGAATAGAAATAAGCTTTGTAATGATAGCTGTCCAATTCCAAGTTGCTGATTGT